GCTGATCACACCGTGTTTTATAGGCATTATGCACCTAATCTATGTATTTATTTGGTTGTTTACATTACTGATATTCTTATCACCCGCAATGATCAAGATGGCATCGTTAATTTGAGGCAACCTCTCTTTCAACATCTCCTAACTTAAAAGACTAAAGAAATTTCTAGGTATTGAGGTTGCTCAGACTAGATCATGTATGGTTATTTCTCATAAACAAACATGCCTTAGACATTCTTGAGGAGACGGGAATTATGGGATGTAAACACATTGACACTCCTATTGTTTAGAATGTTAAACTCATTCCAAGACAAAAGGAGCCACTCAGTAATCCAGGTATAGACAGTCGGTTGAAAAGTTGAATTATCTCACAATGACTAGACTTGACATCTCTTTTCTTGTGATTGGTGTAAGTCAGGTTTTGAATTTTCCTTGTGATAGTCATTAGGATGTAGTTATTTGTATTCCCCAATATATAACGTCAGCCCTCTGTAAAATACTACACTTTGAGGATCAAGGTCATGAGCATATCATCGATATACATTGATTGGGTAGAATCACCATCTGATAGACGTTCTATATCTAGATATTGTGTTTTAGTAGGAGGTTACTTGGTGTTGTGGAAGCAGTGTTTTGGGAAGGAGAAGCGGAAAAAAGCGACGAGGGCTTGCTTTACAGAAGCGAGAAGCGTGAAGCGAAGCGCGCGCTTTTTTTTAAAAAAGCGACATTTAGTATAAAAATAAAAAAATATTAAATAACTAAAAAGAGGTAATATAGTCTTAGATTGAAAGAAATTACTTAGACAAAAATACTCACAAGTCATAACATATAAAGCAAAAAATCAAAAACATAATTAAATCACAAAATACTACTAACAAAAGGAAGTTTCAGAAAATAATAAAAAAAGGCTGCTAGCATACACACTAATCACAAAAAAAAAAAGAATTGAAAAAAAAAACAGAGGCAGCAGAGAATAGAGATGAAGAAAAGAAAGAGAAGAAGAAGAAAAAGAGATGAACAAATTACCTGCAGGCCTCAGTCGAGAGCTTGAGGAGAGAAAGAAGGGAGGCAGCCAGCAGCCTCAGTCGAGATCTTCACGAGAAAAAGAAGGGCGGCAGCCAGCAGCCTCAGTCGAGAGCTTCAGGAGAGAGAAGGGAAAGAAAGTCGCGAGGAGAGAAGGGAAAAAGAGTCGCGAGGAGAGCAGGGAAAGAAGTGTTGTGAGGAGAGAGAAGTTATATTTCAGATTTTTTTTAAAAAAACCTAAATTTTTTAAAAAAAACCCTAATTGTCGCTTTTTTTATAAAAAGCGCGTTTTTTCCTCAGCGTCGCTTCTCGCTTCTTCCTCTGAAGCGAGTGCTTTTTTCAAATCGCCTCGCTTCAAGTTAAAAAAGCGCACAAGGGTCGCCTCGCTTTGAAGCGCGCTTTTAACAACACTGCGTGGAAGAGTAAGAAACAGCGTGTGGTTGCTCGATCTAATGCAGAAGTAGAATATCAAATAATGGCTTTAGCAACTTGTGAGCTAGTTTGGATCAAACAATTGTTGAGAGACCAATTGTTTGGAAAAATCGATCATATGGAACTTGTGTGTTATGATCAAGCGCCCTCCATATCGCAAATCCAATGTTTCGGGATAACACTAAGCACATTAAGATTGATTGTCATATTTTCAGAGAAAAGATACTCTCAAGAGATATTGTTACCAAATTGATGAAGTCAAGTGATCAACTCACGTCCTCGTACAATTACATATTTAGGTACATTTGATTTTTATGCATCAGCTGAAGGGGGGGGGCGGGGGAGGGGTCAGAATAAGAATAGGAATAGGTATATACACAACCCTACTTAGAATAGGAACAACAATTGTATATAGTATCCGACTTGGTAAAGGATTGTATTATAGTGTCTATAAATAGGGTTCTCTGTGCACTAATGTAGATACACATTCAATAATAGTTTCTTCAACATTTCTCACATATATGACAAGGGGCAAATAACTTAAAGATATCCATCAAGTAAGCTTATAATTTGAAAATGGATTACTTCGCACCAATGATTCATACACTCCCCCAGAACCTCAAATGTAGACACATATGATATCTCAGATAAAGAAACAATTTGTAGTAGATCTTCGATGAATTGGATTCATACCATTAACATTTTTACCATCATTGTGTCCATGGTCCAACCAATTGTTATCTGGGCTATATCAAGTGCGAGACTAGATATTGCTAAAAGCATGTTTTTAACATATATTGATAAATTCCAGTGAGGATCTAGGTGGGACATTATGTTGATTTAAAGACTATTTATAAACATGTGTTAAATGGGTCATAATACTTGTGGCAGAAGTTTGACGGACAAATATGTCATCCTCCACTGATCTACATAATGTTTACCTAGTCTAGCAGACATGTAACACCAGTTAAGTAGATCACCCTTTGTTTGACTACCAAATCTGCAACTGTAATACCCTAATTAAGGAGGCTAATGATTGTGGCTGCCATGAAGTTGAGACAAGAAAATGTTCTCTTGTGTGAAATCCAACCAATTGTTATCTGGGCTATATCAAGTGCGAGACTAGATATTGCTAAAAGCATGTTTTTAACATATATTGATATATTCCAGTGAGGATCCAGGTGGGACATTGTGTTGATTTAAAGACTATTTATAAACATGTGTTAAATGGGTCATAATACTTGTGGCAGAAGTTTGACAGACAAATATGTCATCCTCCACTGATCTACATAATGTTTACCTAGTCTAGCAGACATGTAACACCAGTTAAGTAGATCACCCTTTGTTTGACTACAAAATCTGCAACTGTAATACCCTAATTAAGGAGGCTAATGATTGTGGCTGCCATGAAGTTGAGACTAGAAAATGTTCTCGTGTGAAATCCACCCTAAGATTGGGGTGAACTGCACTTTATCATTTCCTACTGATACATGATTTATCATTTGATCTTTCTTGAGTTCTTCATCGGGACCAAGTACTGGTCTCCTGCTTGGACGTGGAGAATTAAAAGCAGGTTTGGAGAGTTTGGCCGATGCACATGAGAAACATGTACTAATGGGTCAGGGACTACAGATTTGTTTGCTACATCAAAAAAGTAGAGAGTAGTGGATCAGATTGCTACCTCTCCTCAAATGATAGCACCTAATTTAATTGATCTGAGCAGAGAAAGGAGATAGATAAGTCATATTATATGCAAGGCTTGTTAAAGAGAGAGACTTGAGTTACGTAAAAATAGTGAAAATTTTGAAAGTTGGTTTAATGATATCATTATAATAAATAAAACAAACTTGGCACTGCCATGAAATATAACTAACTTGGCGCTGCAAGCTAGTGACTTGCACATGATGCTACCATGAATCACTAGGAGATGGTTAAACTTGTTGCTTGGACAAATATGAGGGACAATTGAACTTAAAAATAAACACGTTACCAGCTTGACTAGATTGCTGACAAAGACTTATGATACATGCTGCTGGTTCAGCAAAGATAGAGTGCTGACTAGACAAGTGAGTTGATGAGAACTACTGACTGGAGAAAAATTGATTGTTGATTTGACATATCAACTAAGATATATGGCTAACTTTATAAGTAGCACATGTAAATCAATGATACACAAAACGGATTGACTTGAAATATCTGCTGACATGGACTGATATCGGTCCTTGACACTTGATGGTGTGTGGGACAGACAAACAATTGGAGCAGAAATGCTTTTCCAGGAAAATAAATAGGAGCTGAGACTTCAAGCCTGATGTGTGAAGGACTTCGAGGGTGATCTTCACAGTTGTGCTCATCTTGAAGACCAATAATCAGAATTGAGAGGAATGAGGGAAGAAACAAAGATGGACACTAAAGAGATATGGTTTTTACACTAAGTCACCAATGGCAGACAAGAATAGAAGACTATTTGGAAAAAAAAAACTCAACTGCAAGACTAAGGTGGTCAGAAAACTGGGATATCATGTGCTGATATCATATGTAAACAAGTGAAGAGAGAAAACTCTTACCAGAGTGGTAATTAACATAACATTATAGGGCTTTTTGTACAATAGATTTGAAGAAAGTTTCCTAATTCTTGTGAATCTCACCAAGTATGGAGAGAAATTTGATCTCAACTTTTGAACCAAGATCCAGAGCCAAAGGAATAAAATATTGAAGTTCATGTTCACCTAAAAACTTTCTAACAAAGTATGTGAAGTTTGTGTTTGCCACCTCAAGATCAATGCAGATTCCACAGTCTAATCAGTCATCGATCCTAAGAAATTGAGTGTCCCATACATTCTTCATGTGTTGTCTCTGGTTCTTGATTCAGAAGCCTTGGATCACCTGATCAGTAACAGACATCAATTCTGTTTGACTTTAAACAATAATGAAATTCCGTTCCTCCTGTAGTTTAGCCTTTTCACATATGATAAGAGAACAGATTTCAAAATGTCATTGCAATCGAGCTATATCTCCTTCATTGACAACACTTCATGCTTGATTACAAAGAAGCCAAGTTGCAGGACGTATATTTTGGACTAGAAGTTTCTTCAAATTCCTAATGCTATAAATATTTATTGACAAAGACAATCCCATGAATCGTTCTTTAAATAACTTTTATAATTTGGAGCAAATATGAATATCTAGTAAGGAAGCTGTAACAATCAATGCATTTCAAGGAGCTTATTTTCCATGGAGAAGGTCATGCCACACTAACAGGCATCCCTAAATCATAGTGAACTAATATTTATAAATGAGGATCATTAAATGCATTAACTAAGAACTCAAAGATGAAAGACTTGGAAGAGGCAGTTATGGTTTTAGCAACAAAGCAGAAAAACAAAAAAGGTTGTCCACTTACGTCTCAACAGTACAGCAAACTGTTGATTTTTGTTCTAATTAATGTAAGAAAAAGGAAGGAATGATGACAATAAGAAGAAATGTATTTGATACAAACCAGCTCACAACCTGATTTCAAATATCAACAATTAATTTGAAGTACTTACCGGTGTTTGACATAAGATTGCACCTTTAGGGGTATTAACAGGTTTGACAACCAGTTCATGATTGTGTTCCTTCACTAATTTGGCAACAAGCCATTTTCCAGATTGTTCTTTCTTCACAATTATCATTGCCTTACATCCTTCCCTAATTGCTCTGCACTTTTTTTTTCCATTCTGACTTTGTCTACTTTTACTAAAACCCTCTTTATTACAGACAAGTCGACGCCACACCAACTCCCCATTACGCATAGATCGTCGAAATGCATCTACTCGCATGATAAAGCCTAAATGTGTGGCGTATGTGCTATAGTATGCTTTAGCAGCTTCTTCTGATTCAAATTCCATACCCACATAAGGTTCCATATTTGAGCGTCCTTCAACTTCAAGACCATTTGGAGTAAACTCCTTCTCAGTTGAAGTCTCTACAATCCCCACATCATCTGTTGCATTATCTGCTATGAGAAAGAGCAGAATCAGTTTGTGTAACAAATATCCACAGTCCAAAGCTACCAACAATATGACAAGCTTAACAAAAAGTAGTAGTGTATTTTGCAAGGTAGTAAAGAAAGAAACTTTTTTCTGTAAATCCCATATCGACATTAAGCTAGCGTTTGGCCATATCATTATTTAATATTCACTAAATATTTCATCACTATCATTATTTAATATTCACTAAATATTTCATCACTATTTTGATATTCACGTAAAAAATGATGTAATACAACGCAAGTAAATACCAAAGAGGGTGTTTTTGTAAAAGATAAAAGATTGAGGTAAAATTTTAATTTTTAAAATATCCCAAATAATGATATTTGGCCCAAATACTAGAAAAAACTAGTATTTGGAAATTTGAGATATTTGCCAAAAATATTTGCCAAATAATAACAAATTGTATGGACAAATATTATTTGCAAAATTTTTCCCAAATATCATTTGGAAAATTTATGGCCAAACGGGCCCTAAAACAACCTTGATTTGTGGTGAACTCCTTTGGACTTGAAGTCTGTACCATCTCATCATCATGATTATTGCTTTCATCCACTGCCATGGCACGAGGGTAAAGCTAAATATGAGATAGCACAAGTAGTATGGGTAGAGAAAGGATATGGCAAATTAGATTAAGGGGTTTGAAAAACTGGAACTGCAAGCTCTATTCAACAAATTGGTAAGACTAGTTGTTTCAACCTCCACAATATGTACAGAGAAATGCGGCTACTTACTTACTAAGTATTATATACACATCCAGATCCCCAATTGTCATTAACAATTCTGTCGCTTCTGGTTCCACACACCGGCAGTTTGTCTGCCCTGCCGAAAAGGAGGACGTGTTTACTCCGATTTTTGGCCAAACGCCTTCTAATCTCACACAATTCAACTATCCAAAACGCTATCCTAGAAAATGGTTTTAAAATAATTTATCAATTTATTAGATTAAAACTGCCGGCCCGTAAATATTACTATATCAAAAGTATAAATCATTTTTTTCATATTATTATTTATATGAATATAAAAGACTTCTTAGTTCAAATTCAATTAAATAGATAAAAATTTGGATTCATCTTATTATTCACATTTAAATAATTTATAACAAATAAAATAATATACAATTACATGTAGGAAGAAAATAATACTTTTTCAATTCTCGTTAAATAAAAATTGTTTAATATCATATAACCAATTTAAAAATAAATAAAGCTCATTAAAAAAAATTATATGAGAAAAAGAGAAGAACATGATCCATCCATAACAAAGTGATAATAACTATATTTATATGCCCAAAATTATGACGCATACAGATTTAAAAATTAGAATGTAAAAAACAAAATAAAAAACAAAGCTGATCATTTTGTGTAATTCACACACTACATATGTATTAATTAGCTTAATTATATATAGTATATGTAATATTGTGAAACATCATAGATTGAAGATAGAGAATTGATTTTAAATTATATACTTTTTTAATTTTTTTTCTTCACTTATGCTTGAAAAAAATACTTAATAACATAGAGTTTATAATGTGAAAATGATAATAAAAAAAAGACTAAATCAACCAGTAATTATATGATAATTGAAATAGGTTGTATAATTTGTATAGAAATAATTTGATAAAATATAGAAATTGTAATGTCTAAAACGTAATAAGCATTCGTAAACTATATTAAATTTAAATTGCTAAGTTGGATGCTATGATTATGAAAGCTTAAAAGTGATAGATTATGAAAGCTTAAAACTGATAGAATTAATTATATCATAAAAGATTGAAGTTTAATAGATTTATGGAGGTAAAATTTAATAATTAAAAGAAAAATGAAAACACACAAATAAAGTAGATAAAAGAAATACATTTATAATATATAAAGATATAAAATTTTTGAATCGAATAAATAAAAAATAAAAGTGAAAAAAAGCAAAGAAAGGAAAATACTAAATAAATTGAAAAAGCAAAGACCTTTGATTGTTGATCCTTGCTGCGTATATCAGTTTGTCGTTGACTTAGAACAAGCGAAAAAAATCCGAAAAGGAAAGATTCAAGTGCCTTAGGGGATTCAAGCTTGGATTCGAGGTAGGTCATGGTTGTGATTCTATGATTGTGCGATATATACTTGTTCTCTCTTCACTGTGATACATGTATATGTATACATGTTGTAATATTGATCATAGATGTTCAAATTGATATCATGACTTAAATGTGTGCTCTTGATGTGTTATTGTGATGTGTGATTGATATTAGATTGCACATTTAGGCATGCTAACTGGATCGGTTGCCACATTCTGGCATAAAAATTGGATCGAATTGCCACGTTTTAGCATGCTAACTAAGATGGATTGTCACATTGTGGCATGCAAAATGGGATCGGTTTCCATGTTTCGGCATAAAAATTGGATCGAATTTCCACGTTCCGACATGCTAACAATTTGATTTTGGGTTCCATGAGAGGATCAACTATGTGATGAAAACATGTGAATTTTGATGATGATTCTTATGATAGTATTGAATATGTTGATATTTATGTATGTGTTATAATGATTTATTGACTTGTCTATGTTACATTAGTGGGATAGCCCCGTGATCTTACCTATACACGCAGGTTGTGTATTGATTCTACACTCGCTCTTACTTTGTTGAGTATAGGGCATCTCATGCGACTGTTGATAGACCTCGCTTAGGAGATCGGCGATCATTCGAATTCAAGGTTGAGTTAGTTCTTCCGAGATTTCTTGAGTTCTTTTTTTTTACAATCCCTTATATTCGAACTTAGACTAGTTCTTTAGATGATTTTCTGTTAGACTTATGAACCTTGAAAGAGTTTTGGTACAATAACTTTTAGTTTTAGGCATATTTTTTGCATTCTTTTAGCTTATTTTAACTTGCTTCTATAGCTTAGATACCTTAGTTTTAGATTATTTCCTTAGTTGGATGGTAGTAGTCGGTCTCCCACCGGAGGGTTAGGGTGGGTGCCTATCACAACGATTTCAATCGTGACAAGTTGGTATTAGAGACTAGGTTAGTGTCTTATAGAACGGTATGTTAACGTCCATACTTATCTTCGAGAGGCTATACGTAGAAAAAATTCACTTCTTTCTACTCCTTCGTGATATGACTTGAATCCAATTGGCATTTGGGTGATATAAATTGGTATCCTTCCTCCTTCACTCTATGGTTCAAACTAGAGCAACAAAAGTGGTATTACCGTCACTAGCAAGAGAGAATGTGTATAAACTACTGATAGTTGAATAGGGTTACCATTCAACACAAGTAGCCATTACCTCGGATAGATGACATTTTGATCAATGGCAAGGTGCATAGGTTTACTCTAGGATTGATTTAAAATCTGGTTACTATCATTTAAAGAATTAGGCGCCTAAGTATTGGGTTTGGAAAAATTATGTGATTGAAATTAGCAGTTTTATGGGGCTTGTTGGCTAATATTGTCCCATGTGATATGAGTTGAGTTCAATTGGTATCACCCGATTTCAATTGGTATCTCCACGAAGTGAACTAGATGGAACACAACCAAGATAATTGAAACTAAGAAGGTTCCAATTTGTATCTATTCTTGGGGATCATATAACGCATAAATCATTAGTAACAATCATCTATGGAGAAAAATAACTATTAAGGATTTGGACTTATTAGCGAATTGTATCTTATAACGGTAAATAAGTGCTTCTAGTTGTCTCAAATTATCTATAAATGAAAGGGTGTATTACTTGAATGCTTTGTATGATTAGGTGTCAAGTATTGCTTGACTAAATGTAATATTTGCAATGTGTTGGCCTAAATGTTGAAAGTGCGCTAGTTGTAACCACTTAAGTATCGTGGGACTGGTTGTAAAAGCAAAATCATCATGATATTAGGCGCAAGGGTCTAGATAAATTATGATGTGATTTGTAAGAGAGAAATATTGATTGTGTGTTAGATCAACTGATAATCATGAGAATGTCTGGGTGTATCTTGGGAGCGAGTGAATTTTAGTGTTGAATGTAACGTAAGAGAAATTGTGGAATCTGTGTCGTTAAGATTTACTAGAAGTAACTAATGATTGTCCTAGATATAGGCATTATTCTAAAGGTATTAAGCAAAGCTGGGACATTGGTGGAAATTAGAAAAGATAAAAAGCCCAGAAAATTAGTTGGCTTGGGTTCTGTTTTCATTATGGTTGGTGGGGCGGGATTCTTCCTGCCAGAGCAGGTCGTTGGAGCGAGATTTTTCCCGCTAGAGCGGGACAGGCTGAGACAAAATTTCAGCTTTGTCTCCTCTATTTTTCTAGTCATAATTATGAACCTCGAATTGTACATTTGTATTCAACAATCGAATATATGTTATAAGGTGTGTCAAAATTATGGAGATTCTGGGCATATGGGGGTCGGATGTAGTGATCACAAGTGCTAAAATTGTTGTTGATTCGGATTCTGCTTATCCGTACGTGTCGGTGCATTTTCTTGGTTATTTTATATGGGTTGTGATATACTTGATTCCCCCATCCATGTTTCTACCCTAGTCGAGGAGTCAGGTTTAGTCACCCATGTATATCATGTTGTTCTGTTGCGTGGTAGATTCTTAGATTTGGGTTGATTTAGTTATGCTGGATACTATTGACTCGATATAATCATAGGCATGACTTGGTTGTTCCCCTATTATACCGGGCTTAATTATGGTGCCAAGACAGTAACTTTAGAGATCTCTGATAAGGAAAGATCAGAACGGGAAGGGGTGTACAAGCCTAAGCTAGCTAAAATCATATCCTTCATTTGGGCTAGAAAACTTGTACATCAAGATTGCTCGGTGTAATTGAATCATATTCGGGAGGTTGAGATCAAATCCCTTACTATTAAGTATATTTCTTTGGTATTAGAATTGAGAGAGCTTAAAGCTTAAATCCAAGGGCTTCTTGATACGCTCAAACTTACTTCTCAAATGACAAGTAAAGCGGTCGTG